CGTCCCTATTAATGAAGAACTGAAGGAGCCCTAGGAGTCACATACTGCAACGCCACGGGACCAACTGACGAAACGTCGCGCTTCAAAGACGATTATGGAGGAAAAAAGTGTGTTGCAACTCAGAGGGACTGAACTCCAGAGAGAACTGTCCACTCCAGAGGGAACTGTCACCAGAGGGAACTGTCCACTCAGAGGGAACTGTTACTCCAGAGGGAACTGTCACTCAGAGGGAACTGTCACTCAGAGGGAACTGTCACTCAAGGGAAACAATGTTTACTCACAGAGGGAACTGTCACTCAGAGGGAACTGTCACCAGAGGAACTGTCACATCAGAAAGGAACTGTCACTCAAGAGGGAAACTGTTACTCAAGAGGGAACTGTCACTCAGAGGGAACTTCACTCAGAGGGGAACTGTCACTCACAAAAAAAAAGGGAACTGTCACCAAGAGGGAACTTGTACTCAGAGGGAAACTGTCCACTCAGAGGGAACTGTCACTCAGAGGGAACTGTTATCAGAGGGAACAAAGAGAACACACAGAGGGAACTGTCCACTCACAGAACGTTCACTCAGAAACAATAAAAATCAGAGGGAACTGTTCCACTCAAAAGGGAACTGTTAGCTCAGAGGGAACTGTCCACTCAGAGGGAACTGTCAAACTTCCACAGAGGGAACTGTCACTCAGAGGGAACTGTTACTCACAGAGGGAACTGTAGAGCGATGGGGAACTCATCAAACGAGAACCCTCGGATACGTCTCGTTACAATCCTCTGAAGACGAGAGGGGTTCACCCCTCTGCAGAGAAAACACCTGAAGAAGAGAGGAAGGCCAGGTAGGAAACACCTGAAGAAGAGAGGATGACCAGGTAGAAACCCTGAAGAAGAGGAGGAGGACCACAGGTTACGAATCACCCAGGAAGAAGAAGTTACCTCTACGATGATCAGGTTGGGTGAGTCCGAGGACGAGCGGTCAGGATCCAGGTAGAGTCCGGTACAGTGAGATCAGGAAACCAGAGAGCGCCCCTGCTGCCAGTCAGCATGCAGAGCCTGCAGAGACACAACTACTGTCACAGAAGAAAGGCTCAGGGTGGTAGATTTCCTACTTCTCAGGATCTGGTTTACATGGCTGATCAGTGATCTGGTTACCCCTGACTGATCAGGATCTGGTTTACCTGGCTGATAAGGATCCTGGTTTACCTGGCTTGATCAGGATCTGGTTTACCTGGCCGATCAGGATCTGGTTTACGCTGGCCGATCAGGATCTTGGTTTACCTGACTGATCAGGATCTGGTTTACCTGGCCGATCAGGATCTGGTTTACCTGGGCTGATAAGGATCTGGTTTACCTGACTGATCCAGGGTGGAGGTCCGGAGGGCCAGGGAGAGGCCTGATCCACAGGGGCAGCTGAACCCAGGATCAGCAGGCTGGCTTGAAGGGGTGACAGTTTCTCTCTGACATAAAGCTGAGAAACGATCCTCCGCAGGTTCTTCTGAACTGGAATCTGAAACAGAACCGGCTCAGTTGATCTTTTTTGATTTGTGGGTGTGATCGAGTCTCTGGCTCCCGAGTCTTTGACCAGAACTTTGGTTGCTTTGACTCATTGACGAGCTAAATATAATCTGAAGGTTGATTAACTTATTTACCTGCTCTGTTTCTCAGTCCAGCTCCTCTCTCTCTGCTCGGACCGACACTTCGTATCGAAGCCTCTTAGCCAGCTCTGAGATCTCCACCTGCAGCGCCTCCACCTGCAGAGTTACCACGGTTAATGATACACCACCAGAGATATCACGGTTACACGATACACCATCCAGAGTTAACCATAATATCACCACCCAGGTTACCACACGGTTACCAGATAACACACCCAGAGATAACCACGGTTAACCATAAGATACATCACCCAGAGTTACCAATCGTTACCATAAATACACCACCCAGAAGTTTACCACGGTTACCACGATAAACACCACCCATTTCAAAAAGTTCCACGATAATACACCACCCAGAGTCACCATGGTTACCAAGAACACCACCCAGAGTTACCATGGTTACCGCACCCACCACGGAGTACTAGCTTACCACGATACACCACCCAGAGTTTAACATACATACACCACCCAGAGTCACCACGGTTACCACGATACACCACCCAGACGTTACCCACGGTTACCACATCACACACCAGATTACCCAGGTGTACAATAATGACACCACCAGAGTTACCACGGTTACCAACGATACACCACCCAGAGGTACCCATAATACACAACCTAGAGTTACCACGGTTACATGATACACCACCAGAGTTACCACGTACATACAGAACCCAGAGTCACCACGGTTACCCGATCCCACCAGTTACCACGGTTACACGACCACACCACCAGAGTTACCACGTTACCACGACACACCACCCAGAGTTACCAATGAATCACCCTGAGTTACCACGGTTACCAATGATACACCAGCCCAGAGTACCACGGTAACATACACCACCCGAGAGGTCACCACGGTTACAACGATACACCACCCAGAGTTATCCACGGTTCCATAATACACACCCAGAGTTACCAGGTTACCACGATACACACCAGGTTACCATAATACCACCAACTAGAGTTACCACGGTTACCATGATAACACCAGAGTTACCACGATACATACACCACCCAGAGTCAACACGGTTACCACGATCACCACCCAGAGTTACCATGGTTACCACATACACACCCAGAGTTACCATAATACACACCCAGAGTCACCACGGGTTACCACGATACAACCACCCAGTTACCACGGATTACCACGACACACCAACCTCAGAGTTACCACGTTACCATAATACAACCACCCAGAGTTACCACGGTTACCCCGATACACCACCCAGAGTTACCATAATACACCACCTAGAGTTACCCACGGTTACCCATGATACACACCCAGAGTTACCACGATACATACACCATGCCCAGAATATACCAGAACACGGTTACGGGCTACATCACCAAATGCATGAAGATCATGAAGGCGTTCTCGACTAAGTTTTTTCACCATCCTCCCGGAACCGTCCCGAAATACAATCTAAGCCGTCCCGAAATTAATGTGGACCGTCCCGAATTTAAAATATTAGTTTTTATACATTATCATTAGTTAAAATCATTCAAAGTGACCTTTAACATAAATAAAACATCATACAAATCATTAGATGATAATTCATCAACCTTTTTATTTCAGTAAATCAGTCAATCACATGAACAAAGGCCAAATATATTTAAACAAACACACAAACGAGAAAATTACTCTAATATTGAATCAAATCAAGTCCCATCCAATTAACAAAAAAATCCAACACTCTGTCCTGAAGACAGAACCCAGAGTAACCACTAACCAGGAGGACAGTCTGTAACACAGTCAGGAGACCTTTACAAACTGCCCCGCCCCCTCGCACACAGACGGGAGAGAGAGATCTCGTCTGGATTGGAAAGCTCGAAAATACATCATAGACACATGTTGTAGTCTTATTGCATATTAGAAACGGAGTTGGATAAAATAAAACTGCGATATAATGTTTATGTAGCAATACTACATATGACATATATTTTTTAAATGTCTCCAGTACCGATAAAAAGTCAGATAACGTCGGAGCTTAACGTTACCACTGTCTTTAATAATTCCGGCCCGGGCGGAGCCCGTTTAATACCGGGGCTCGGTACCCATCCATACATGGGGAGAGGCGCAGCATATTGCTAAGGACTAAATACGATGGAGGGTTCTCATCTCAGCCTTATTACCCATAGGGGATGAAGTGGAGTAAGTAAATAAAGGGGCCGGCGCTCCAGGGTCTGGTTCTGCTGTGCGTTTTTGTGATGTAACGGTAAAACATGTCAGAATTCCTCCACGGGATACCATTGTCATTTTACATCACTCAACCCGCGAAATACACACACTCAGTACATAGCCTACTGTAGATAGACCCCGCAAATTTGCGGGCCAGGAATTCGCGGGCACAGCCAGCCGCACAGCCATGGGCACAGCTTACGTATGTGTGTGTGTGTGTGTGTGTGTGTGTGTGTGTGTGTGTGTGTGTGTGTCTGTGTGAGTGTGAGTCTGTGTGTTTCGCGGGTTGCTAAATGTTTTGTGTGTTTATGTTGACAAGGAGGTGTAATAACTGTGTGCTACACACAGTGTGCAGTCGATTTCATTTTCATCGCCGTTTGTAGTAGAGTTAGCAGGGTATTTTGTCTCAATTTCGTCCCAAAATTATTTTTTATCCTCCCTGACACTATTTTTTTCGGCCCCGGGACGATGGGACGTCCTTAAGCTCGAGCCCTGGATCCAGTGCAGTCATGCTTTGAGGCGACAGAAGGAATTTAGAGGTGCAAGAGCTGAGATGTGACCAAAAATGACTATGAGTCATCTGCCCTTGTTATTACTATAGTGATGAAGCAGTAGACACATCTAATATTAGAGGTTTACAGGATGGCTATTTTACCAAAAACTCCTGACTTTTGTCTTGTGTTTTTAGACTAATGCATGATAAATAATGAGAATTATAATTGCAATACAGGTCAGGTAAAAAATGAAAAGAGGTTAAATTATTCTGCAGTCGTCTCGATGAACCATCTAACTGTTGGCTTTAAATATATCTGCCTGTGAAACACAAGTATAATACTGCCATGCATTTTTACTGAGATATGAGTTGAGCAAAAATGACTATTTACTCTGTCTTTTTAAAGTGGTATCTTGAGAGTGAAGTTAAAATGTATCTGCATGGCATGAGCATGAAGTAGTCATGCCAACGTAAAACAGGAAGGAAAGAGAGACTAGTTATTCTTAGGAAATGTGTAAAATACCAATGAGCTCATGTTGAGATCAGATCAGATTTCCTCCCACAGTGCTCTGTTAGTCTTCCTCAATTTGTTTCAAGTGTTAAAGTGGACGTATGTGTAAGAGACAGAGAGTCAGTGTTGATGTGAAGATGGGACACACTTTGCTCTGCGTGCTGGGGTTATTCTGTGAGTATATCACTGACTTTTGTATTTAGAACAGAGTATCATTGTTTTGTCTAAAGATCAGCGGTTTTTAGCAACACCGTTTAGAGCCAAGGAATGTGTTAAATTGACTGTTTCATCAACCATGACCACTATATGTACTATATCTACTTTCAATGCAGGATATAGGACTGCGTTGTTATAATGTGGATTTAAAGCAATTTCTTAATATCTGCTTTTAATGTGTGATTAATATTGTTCGTTTTGTATTTTAAGTGTGTTGTTTTTAATTATTTATGATTTTTACCCTGTATATATTTAGAAAAGCTCTCAGCGATAAAGTGTAATTTCTAAAATATTATTATTTTTATTATTATTATCATCGATTAGCAACAGTGGTTGTATTTGCACACACTATCCAAACAAAGTTGCTATATGTGAATGTTAAGCTGTTTTCAAATGCTTTTGTTGATTCTCATTTTGACAGTTTGTCAGTTTATAAAAATGTCTGATGAATTATCGATCTTTATTTTAGTGCTGAACACACGTCTACAATGCTGTCACGCTGAAGGTGATTACACATTCTTCTCTTTTCTATTTGTCTCTCTATGAATCCTCGTTGATTGCATCATCTTTCGTGGTTTAGCCAATGACTAACAAATGTTTAGTGAAGAGTGTTAACTTACATTGTACATTTGTATGCCTCAAAGTAACCTTTTCCTCATCGTTGTTCTTCTAATTACATATTTATTATTGTGTTGAATTCTAGATGCTTTGACTCTAAAGACCAACTGGTCCACTTCATACACGGGGGAAACTGTTACGCTCGCATGTGACAAAAGTGACGGCCAAGACACTGACTGGAGTTACACCTTCACCAGGAATAATAATAAACTTGATTTCTGCAAAACAAAGAAGTCTTCTTGCTCCTTCAAGCTAATGAAAAACGACACAGGCCAATACCAGTGCAGTGTTTTTCAAACAAAGACACATTCTACAAACCAGAGTAATATAGTCAGTCTGACTGTATTAGGTGAGTCATCTGATGTCTTTTCTCTCTGAATACCAACTATAGCAATGCCCACTGTAGAAGTTAACTCCTTCGATGAGTATTCTGCAGAAGCAATAGTCCAGTAAGGGAAAACAACGGGCTAATGAGAACAGAGCTGCTTTAAAAAATATGGAAATGTACTAATTCATTATGTGTGACTCACGCAGTTTCTGAACACAATGAGAACAGAGATTTTGAGGACTGATTTACAGTTAAGCAGGTCACCAACTGTAATCAAACATAAGACAATTGAAGCTATTTTGATATTACCCTACTGTTCCATAGGTATGTTGTTTGTTTAAATGATTATTACATGTAATAATTCTCCAACAGATAATCCAAAACCTGCTCTCAACGTGTCTCGTTCATGGCTGAGTCCTGGAGCCTCCGTCACTCTGAACTGCAGTGTTACAGATTCAGCAGCAGGGTGGAGGTTTTACTGGTATAAGGCCGTCGCCAATCTGTCTATCAACTCCAACTACAGCTATGAGCTACTACCCGGCAAGAGCAATGGGACTGAAAACAATACCTACGTTGTTAATGGACAGACACACACAGCAGGGTATGTGTGCAGGGCTGGAAGAGGAAACCCTGTGCATTACTCTTGGTATAGCAAACCAAAGTTTGTCTGGTCTGGAGGTGAGAATGTTTCTTCATGTCCCTTATCTCTTCCTATCTGATGTTCCCATTAGGACACATCTTTAAATGCCTCCTTAATTACCATTTTAGATACACAAATCATTTTTAAATCAGGAATATGTGAATCTTTACTTATAGCAGGCATAACATGCTTTATTAAAAGTCACTTACTTTGTGTTCTGAACGCTGTAAGGTTGGTAGAAAAGAAATGGGAACAACTAGAAAGCCACAAATATAACTGATCTGTTCAAATCAAATATTGAATTTATATATTTTTGAACACTGACCATATTTGGACCTAAATGTGCAAAAGTTTGTAGTTTCCTCCTTCACAGAGTGCATCTACTCTAGGAGGCTGAATTCATGTTGAAAACATTCAGACGATAATTTCCAATTATTCTGTTTTTGTATTTCAGATTCTCATGCACCATCAGTCAAAGTGAGTCCTGACAGAGTGCAGCACTTTTCCTCAGAGCCTGTGTCACTGAGCTGTGAGGGGAACCAGTGGAGAGTGGTGAGGTTCACTAAAGCAGGCCATCTGTCAAACTGCTCTGACTGGGGCAGAAATAACGGATCCACATGGACCATCACTAATCTGACAAACAAAACAGCGGTGTACTGGTGTGAGTTTGCATCTGGTCAATTCAGCAATGCAGTCAACATTACTCTACAAAGTAAGTACATTTTTGTCACAATTCCCTAACTGGATTTATATTACAAATGTATAACCGAGTGTCTGTGATGATGATCTCTATAACTTGATATCCATTGACTGCTTTACAGGTGATATTATCCTGGTGAGCCCTGTCCATCCTGTGACTGAAGGAGATTCTGTTCATCTTAGTTGCAAAGTGAAGAACGGATCATTATCTTCTAATGTTTCTTTCTATCGAAATAATACTTTCCAAAAGTATACCAGGGCTGAGCTGAGGATCTCTGCGGTGTCAAAGTCAGACGAAGGCTTCTACATGTGTCGAGACGCAGAGAAAAAGTCAGCACAGAGTTGGTTGTCAGTAAAATGTGAGTATGATTACATTTGTCTCTTATGTGCTTCCTTTTCCATTAACTAGGTTGCCAAGAAAGACTTCCTTTCTACTTAGAAATAGCACTGGTTAGTGTGGTTATCTATGAATGTTCTGTATGTCTTCACATGTATACACTTGCATACATATGTGTTAGTTTGTAAAGTACATGCTTTAAATAGGGTGTATATATTAGGTGTTTATTTTCCGTTTTTATCATATATGTGAAACCCAGCTTTAAGCTCTGTTGAAGAAAAATTGAATCTATGAAAACTTTTTTTTTGTAGCAGCAGCCAGTCCTGAAAACATGAAGAGACCATGTACTCTGCTACTGATCATTGGGTTGGTTTGTGGGATTGTTGTGTTCATTCTCCTGCTGCTATTCTGTTACTGCATGAAGTCCAAAAGTGAGACATTTTCCTTTTGATATTTGATGGATCTGAAATTGTAGTGCGTCAGTTTCTAATACAAAGAACACCAATGTCTTCTTTTTTTTACAGATTCAAGCTTTGCAAGGTCGGTACTAGTCTTTTGAACTTGAAAGCAGTACTAATTTAAAATGTCTACTATATTGTTTACCATGTGTTATTTCAAAAAATATTTTACTTTATTCTTAGGACCACACTGTTTCAGAGAACCAATCAGGGCTTTGCTCCAGATCAAGTGGTTAATCTGAATGAAACTCAACCGCAGCTTCCTTCCTCTCATCTCCACGGTCAGCCTGACAAATAATCAAGATTAAGTTCTCATTTCATATGTTTGCCATTTGTAATGCTAATTTTCTGGTATAGGTGAAATGTCTAAGCTCTTTAATCAAAAGACAAAATCCTTAAAGCTGGAAAGTAGTTTACTCTTCTTACTATTAATAAAAGATGATAACATTATGGCTTTATGTTATGAAAATAGCTTTAATGCAATTTGGGTTACACATTTGAGTCTTTAAGTTAAGCTTTAATTTAAGCTATGTGTATTTCAGATCAATCCGGCGATGTCACTTACTCTTTGATTCACCTTAAAGACATTAGAAAGACCGGTGAGTACTCAAGATACAAGCAATAAATACGTATTTCTCCTATTTTTTAATCAGATAGATGTTATGCTGACAAACTACATTATTGTTTATTTCCATTCATAGAAAACTCCTCTGCTGCAGAAGAAACGGTTTATTCTGAAGTGAAACTAGACAAAGCTCCTGGTAATAATGTTATATGCACCTTCTTTATTTAAAAAACAAATACAATTTAAATAACCTTTTTTCTCTGCTTCCTCTCTTATTTCCCCCCAGGTCCTTGAAGACGTGTTTTTTGCTTATTTTGTATCAAATTAAAAATGTGTTTGTATTTTTAAAGTGGATTGATACTGCATGTTTGTAGTTGGAGTTTTTTTTTTATCATTTAAAATATTTGTCTTCAACTATTGTATGCAGCAATAAAAAATGTTTTCAGCAACAAGCCATGAGTCAAATTTGTATTAACGCTTCTATGTATCTAAAAAATGATTTTGTCCACATAGTTTTGTGGAGTACCAAGCAGCCGTAACAAAAACTAAAAGACATACACATTAAATAAAACCATAAAATAAATGTTTACTTCAGTTTCCAACTTTAACATTTTCATTACTTTCGCAAAGTTGAATGATTTTGCAGTTAGTATACAGGATATAAACCCACTTAACTGATAAACAGGACGTTAGGCAATACTTGAGCCGACAGATGTTAATCGAATTCGACCTAAGTAACAATAACTACACTTGAAGTATTTCCAAATATTTCATATTTATTTTTTGAGCTTTTCTTTTTTACGTGTTTGGTTTCTGGAGTTTTTTTTCTTGACAATATACTATAACACATTCATACACAGGACACAAAAGCCCAATATCTCCCCCCTCTGTTAACTGGGCATATGTCCGTCAGCTCAGTCTGTAGGGACTTGGCCTGGGAACCGTAGGGTCGCCGGTTCAACTCCCCAAACATACCTAAAATACGGAGTGTAGACTGGTCCTTTGAGAGGTCCCAGTCGCCTCCTGGGCACTGCCGTGGACAGATCTTTTTTTATGTTTTGTACCAGACCTTTCCAATAGGGGGCAGTGTGACCCTGACTTGAGCTGTGAACACTTCGTGCTGCTACTCAGGCATGTATTATTAAATGCACTAAAGCAGTGGTTCTCAACTGGTCAGGCCTCGGGACCCACTTTTTCTTTGTCAATAAATCGCGACCCGAAATTTTGAACCACTCAAATCTATTCAACAAAAAATCGTGCTGTAACATATACGCTTTTCAGCATACAATATTAATTAAATTAAAGTACAGTGCATCCCTTATATCCCTTCACAGAACTAAAGTATGCTTTAAAAAAAGTTTAATGAGAGGATGACTGTAACATGAATAGGCACAAGTGCTGAAAACCCAATCCCAGCAAGGGGGTCTGGGGGGATTCTCCCCCAGGATATTTTTAGTAATACTAACATATAAACTACGCATTCTGGTACACTCTGAGAAGAAAATAAATGAATGTATTACTACCCGACATATTAATAATATTTTATGCCATTGTTCTTTTTTCACTTTGTTCTGAAGCTGAACTTGCTGCTCCACACAGAGAGAAGAGTAAAGAGGAGACAGTCTGTGTGAATTACGTCATCAAACCGGGGGTCATATTTCATTATGTGTTCATTTTTATCTGATGTTGTACCCATGGATGTATAAAGAATAGTTCTACCGCAAAGTTATTCTCCGTGGGGACTTCCGGCAACAATCTTGATGCTGATTGGCCAGAAGACTCGAAAAAAACATCAGCAAAGATGTTTTATTGAGAATATGATCACTACTTCACAGAAGTTTTCAAAACCGTTTATGGTCTCCGGTACTTTCAGTCCAACACCTACTGCATGTACAGCATTAGAAAATCGGGCCTTCAAAATAAAAGTTTGACTTTTTTCAAAAAAAGAATGGGTTTTTTTTCCATTTTTTTTTCTTCTTTCAAACATCTGCGACCCACTCGAAACGGGTCCGGGACCCACTTTTGGGTTGCGACCCACCAGTTGAGGACCACTGCACTAAAGGTCCATATAACCAGGGGTGCACACAACTTTCTCAGTGAGGTACTCAGATGAGTACCTGGAGTCAGTGTTTGGTACTCCAACTTCCGGCTCCCTCAAAGTTCCCATGAAGCCCTCTGTATCGCGTCCGCTTCGCGTCGGGCCGAACCACGCCCCTTAGTTGTGATATAATGAGCATATACCACGGGCTGTCGTGAGCTATTGCTTAAATGCATCATTCCCTTTACAAACATGTCTTTTTTGCCTTACTTTGTGTTTTTTTACACTGATGTCACAGTTGTATTTTATGGGAAACACCCTGTGTGCATACATGCACATCAACACATCTTCTTTTCATATGTCATGAACAGTTGTTAGAAACAACATTTACAATACATATATTCAAACTTAAGTAAATTTCCCCTATCATGGAGGACAATAAACTCAATTATTTAAAAAAGATTTTAAAGATTTTCACATAGTAATATGCAGCAAAAATAAGTTTACTGTGGATCAAGCTGAGAGTATTTCCTACGCTTTGTCATGTCAGCAACATTATCAGCCACTTTTTGGTGCCCTCTAGTTCTGCTTTCAGTTCCTAAGATGGTCATGTTGGTCACAGTTCAATGCACACTTTGTTTAACTACTATCTTTATTTAACATTATGTAATAATAAGGTGCAAAAATGAAAATGGTCAACCTCGTTGTGGCACTAGAGGAAAATGTAGTCAAAATGTAGCAGATTGCCCCATTTCAGAATAATACATATGATTTGTTTTGGTTATCATTATTGATGTATTGTTGTGTTTATCAAGCTGGTAAAACTAATTTAAATTCCTTTATTTACTGCTGGGTAGAATGTGAAATCAATCCGGGTGTATCTACAGTTTTTTTTTATTGTTTATCATTAAGTTGTATGCAAAGTAACTAAATGTAGTAGAGTGAAAGTTCAATAATTACTGTACCCCTGAATTGTAGTGGCGTAGAAGTACAATGTAGCAGAAAATGGAAATGCTCAAGTAAAGTACAAGTACCTCAAAATGTTACTTAAGTACAGTACTTGAGTAAATGTACGTATTTACTTAACACCTCTGCTCAAAACTTATAGTTAGAAAAAAAGAAGTGACCGACATGTGTGGGCTAAATGCAATTGGAGATGTCATTGTAAAACGTTGTTCACATGTATACAAATGGTGTGAATTAATAGAGAAGTAACACAAGCAAGTGGTTGTGAACATCAGACACAGTTTTCCCTGGTGCTCTTTAGGTGGGCTGCATCATCAGCGCTTCTGTTTCCCCCTGTGAGTTTCACATCAGCCTTTTACCATAAAGTTCATAGGAAATCATGTTAGGTTGCAGAGCACAGACCACCTCTGCAGAAGCAACACTTTGTAAAGTGTAGTTTATTGTAAGGTGACAACGGCCACCAGTAATCTCTGCCGGAAGAGGTTATAGTTCCTGCTAACCAAGCCCTCATGACATCATCACTTTCCTTCCCAGCCAATCCATGGATTTTAAGTTTTTGAAATTAGTCTTTGCTACGTCTCACCCCGGATATTAAAAGGGCAATAAATGCATGACATACGTGTAAGCCTTTAGCTTTATTCTGGGAACTTACTTCCTGTGGTCACATGTGGTCGAGCTTCACACAAACTAGTGATGCGATAAGATCCATGCAGTCATGGGCTTTAGTCATGCGAGCACTGCTGCAAAACAATTCAGTTTTCTCTAACCATGTTCTGTGGAGAAATATAAAACTTGCAATGCAGTAAGAGAGTTTGTTGAAATACCAGCTTCTCAGGAGGCTAAAAGGTGGAGGGTTAGAGATTTTGATACCAATAAATGGTACTGGTCCTAAGTTCCAGTGGAAAAGCTCTATTGGTTTTCACAATGGTCTTATTTACAACAACAACAACAGCCTGCTTCGATGTCACCATCTTTTCCCCAACTCACAGTCAGACAGTAGCAGGCTTTACTACTTGCAAGGTAGCTATCTGAAGCTCAGCTAGGACAATACGGAAATTGTGCTCCTTTGGTCAGAAGGATCCCAAACAAAGGCCTCTCGATTCAACCCATTTATTTGCATCTTATCCGAAAGCATCCAATACAACATAAGGAGTATTTGTCCCCCCCTACTAGAGAAGGACAGGTTTTGTCATCTTCAAATGTCTTCTATCTCCTTATTGGAGCAGCTTCGTCTACCATCAGCATTCCGTAAAGCTCCTGCCCGCCACTCCCAAAACGTATTTAAATCTTCTCTGTTCTTTACAGATGCCACCTGTTGCAGTTTTCACTCAATTTAAGATTCTTGCCTCTAACAGGAACTGCTTTTTTGAACTTTTAAGTAAATGTAAAAGCTCACGCTATAACGAGACCATTGCTCTCTATTGCCTCTAGGCTGCCCACACCTTTTGTCATTGGTCTATGTGTTTGTTCTCTGTTCTGGCCCAGCAGTGGTGTTATACTCCCCACTTAAGACAAGACACCAGAGGTGTTACTGCTCCTCTATGCACTTCTCCTGTAGCACTGAACCTGTACTGAGTTGTTTTTGAAGACATTTACTTTTTGACACCTTGAACATATATCACCTCAGCATCTCCTCATCCATGCATCTGATAACAGGATGTGGTTGAGTTCTTCCTGCTCTGGGCAATAAAGATGTGAGCTTTAATCTTCATATTTGTATTTCTGATATAGCTGACTGCAGATATAATGTTTGTCCACTTGAGTGAGTTAAGGGTAGGAACAAAATAAAAAAATAGCAGATAGTCGATTGAGGCTATCTTGAACCTTAAACTCTTATTTTTTATAAACGTTCCAGTTGTTATCTTCTTGATATGTCTACTTTATCTTGCATTATATTTCAGGCCTGATAACTTTTTCTGCTTCTTTGTCGACAGAGAACTCCCCCACCCACCCACCCTCTTTTTTTTTTGAGAACTGTCACGGCGCAGTTTGATAGATGAGAAAAGGAAACAGACGTTGTTCCTCTCGCCACAAAGATGGTTGGTGGTTGCCAGAGCTGCTTCTTAACATACATTTCTGTGCTACTTCTTGGCTGCTTCCTCCATGGTACGTGCATCTCAGCTTTAAACTTTATAGATTTGTACTTTTATGGGGGACAATTTTGATGTACTCTGTGTTGTTCTTGCAATAAGGAAATTCGGATTTCAGAATTGACTGGACATGCGCATGTCATATTGGGAAATGGCATGTATTCATTTGGAGAAGACTATAGTCTTTGTTTCTTGTTTGTTTGCAACTGCAAGACGTTTTGAAAGCACCAGTTAGATATGGGGCCGAAAGAAACTGACTGGAACATCCATATTGAAGAAATAGATGGTTGAAAAAACATAATTTGCTCTCTCCTGAAATAACAAAGATATACATTTTTCATGGAGCTCAACATCTATCGAAAAATTTAAGCTTATAATGTCGTTTATAGGCAAACAGTTGTATCCGGTGGTTTTATTTTTAAATGTGCTTTGAGTCTTCTGGAACACTCTGTGTCAGCGAATTTTCTGGTGCAACTGCTTGGCTACAACAATCAAATCTTTACACGACGCAGGGATGGGTCATCCTCTCCGTTTTGCTGGTTCCTCTTTGTTGTGTTTTTTTACGAGTATTCATTAATTTGTTATAGCTATTAATTTACTTAAACAGTATATTTCGACGAATCGCAAGTCTTACAGTACCTGCTTCCATGCACAAAGCGGATTGGACCATCTCAGAATATTTGCAGAAGTTTGAAGTGTTACAAAAAAAGATCCTGTGTTTTCCGAGAACCCTTCACCACTAGCACTGACCGACAGTGATGCACAGTACAGGATAAAAGTAGCTTTCATTTTGTCACTGAGGTCAGAGTGTTTGGTTTGAGTCTCTTCTCAGAAATTAGGCCATGGTTACCTGGCCAGCTTTGATGACTGTTATTGTGCTAAAATGTTAAATGGGGAATAGTGTCAGCTGCGAACAATTGTTTTCTTATTTGGTACTTTCAATTTCCCTACTCTTCATCACATAACTACTACTGAGACATTTTCAGTGGCCAATCTACGGATATTCCCTTTTCTGAATGCCAAAACCGTTTGTCAATGCATTTCCAACAACTCATGACAATTGGAAATATGACTAATATAAGTATTTTCCGATCCTTCCCCTGTAATATAAAAAGTTAAGTCAGGTCAGTAAAAATAGTTGGTTAAGTCATAGTTAAAAATAACCAGGTTGACATGGAAATCGTTTTCTGACTCGTCGTATTATTAATTAAATCGGACATGCTATAGTTATTAAAAGCTATTTTAGATCATGTCGTGCATGATGGTATTGAACATGCTCTTTTTTCCTCTTACATTATGTTAGGAACATTACCTTACTGCTTCATGTTGCATACAAGGAGAACATAAAGAATACTAAGGCTTTCCTAATGTAGGGAAACTAATTTGACAGTCTGTTGTTTGCTTATGTGTTTCAGATGTGGAGGCCTCCAATCCTCAACGCGCAATCCATAAAAAAGTTGGAGACACTGTAGAGTTGTCATCAGGCTTCTCGACTGAAGGGGTCACCATGGCAGACTGGAAATATGATGGGTTAAAAATTGCAGGCGAAGACAGTGCATTAAAAAATACTCAATTTGATGGCAGATTAAAATTCAACCCATACAATTTAAATTTAACATTGGAAGGACTGACCCTCAAAGATTCTGGTAAATACAGTTTTATCTCAACAAAGGGAATAGTCCAACGCCCAACAGTCTTCATCACCCTGCATGTTCATGGTAAGTCGTTTCCAAGTAACCTATAATAAGAATTCCATAAATAATAATGAACACTATGATAATTAGTTTTTTTATTGAATAATTCCTTTAGAACACATGCCTTTATAATGGAAAAATATCAACTACTGTTCTTTATTTATTGCGCTTTCTACTCGTGACCTATTGAAACATTATATTATTAGAGATAATATTATTAGACAGACAGACTGTTAAATGTTGATGGTGTCTGATAATAAAACTATTATGTCAATATTATTGGATATAATGCTAGGCTTATACTGTACACATGTTTGCCTACTATATCAATAGTTGGTCTAAACTGCATTGTCCACACAAAGTATATCTTCTTTGTGGATATTCCTTTAATGCTTATTGCTGCTTGGTGTGTAATCATTGAACATGTCCACTGTCAGAAATCCCTTTGTTTACTTCTTGATGATAAAATAATAACCTGCTGAATAATTGTTTCTTTTAGTTCCAGAAAACTTTCTGACACTCTTTATTATTCGATTTAAACAAAATGGATGACTATATTTTGGATCTTTGGTTTGGAATAAAGGTTTGCAAAAATTGATTTTCTCTCTCCCCACCAATCGTCTCATTAGAGCCCATAACTAAGGAGCCCATGGTCAATTCCAGTTCCACCTGGCACACCTCGAACGCATCCTGTACAGTTCTGATGGAGTGCAGTGCAGCCACTACTGGCAATGTCACCTACCAGTGGACCGTGGGAACCGAAACCTTCAACGGCTCCAGGCTCCAGCACATCATCAGACAACAGGACGAAGACACCAAATTTAACTGCACAATTTCCAATGTTGTCAGTGAGATGTCGACCATCAAAACAGTGAGTTGCAGCAACACTACGTCCCAACATCCAGAAAGAGGTATGTGCAGAGAAGTGATTGTAGTTTATTGGTGTAGTTTGATGATATTTTATGATTTGAAGCTGGTGATTAAAATAACTGTCCATTTTACAGGGATAACAACACCATTTGTAGAAACAGGCTTCTTCTTTGCCCTGATTGTGGGAGCCGGAGGTTCTCTGCTGGTTGCCGTTATAGTTGGAGTAGCTGTGTGTGTTTATCGCCACAAACAAAGTCAAGCACGTAAGAAACGCTGCATTGAAGCAAATCTTAAAGCAAAGACAAACAGACTTAAAGACAGAGCAACTGCACTAAACTCCAGCATGCACTGACACAATATATATATTTCTTTTTGTATACACATTCAAACATATTCATTTGTACTTAAACCGATATATTCATGCACTTTAACTTTATCTGAATATTATGTATGAATGCTTGTTGTTTGTATGTTGTCTCCTGGGTGTTGTACGTCTCTTGTTGGAGTGGCTCTACTCATCATCTTATTGTAATCACATTAAAGGATTCTATATATTGAATAGTAATGTGTCTTTCATGTTGTTGTTTGTTATGATTCATGCATGATCATTTTTCTTATGCTTTGTTTCTTTCATTAAAACCTACCACCAGGCATTGACTCAAATGACCTCACAGTGTATGCTGATATTAATGATGTTGCAATCGAGGATGTAAGTATGCTCATGTATTTACTCTGCACAAACAATCTGTAACAATGAAATGCTCGTTTTTTGAAGGATCAAATGCATGTTTAACCCACTTTGCCCTCTATTTTTCTTATCTTTGTGTATTATGCACATTTAAACCTCCAGAAGCCGTGCTCACTGTATGAAACCATTGATAACAGAGGCAACAAGGTCCCACCGGGGGTAAGAGCAGAACTCAAAAATACACAATTGCACATTTCCTACTTCTAAGGACAAAACAATGGGAGTGATATGGTTCAATCTGGAAAATGTACCCTTATAGAATAACTATCATTTTCTTTCAGGCCAAGAACCCCTTAGCTAAAAGAGAGACTTAGCAGGGACTCCCTATTATGAAATGAAGCTTACACACTTAACTACAACGACATGTAGGGCTCGATGATTTATATTAATGCTGGGTCATGAATTCCGGTTGCTGACCATTTTTTTAATTTTTCAATACTGTGGGCAATCCCCCCAGGAGCAATTTGGGGTGAAGTGTCTCAGGGACACAACGACATGCTGACTGCAGTGGGGTTTGAACCTGTGCCTCCGAACACCAACGTGCTAGTCCACTGCGCCACGGCCTCCCTTACATTCATACACTGATGTGATGGTGTGCTGCCATATGAGCTGCCATCTGCTGTTAGAGGGTGGTGGAGCACCATTAAAGTCACATAATGACCTCCCTTATTTTAAACCTAACTGATCTGGAATCAGGACACTTTGGTTACTTTATGAATGCATAAAGTTAGTGTCAATTCATATTATTACATAACATTTGAACCAATCAGATACACTCATGGACTTGGTAATTTGTTAATGGTCTGCAACAGGAATTGATTTTACATGATGCATTAATTCCTGCACTGAATCCTAATAAGTAATGCATAAATAACCAGACTCTGAGTAAATGAACTACCCTCATTATAAAATGTTGTTTTAAAGAGATTTGCATCAACTATATTTGATTGTTTTCCTCCTTTTATCACCCATCTAGCCCAATACGGTGTACGACAAGATCCAGTTAAATCGCTTGAGGAATGAATCGGTGTCGCCCTATCAAGACATTTCCTAGAGGGTCATAGCATGATGATTATAGAAAATATCAGTAAATACAAAACGGACTACAAGAAGTTAATGTCATACTGTCTTTGGCCTTAAAGGGTTTTTTACTTTCCCTTTATCGCATTCAAAAACAACCTTTATTATATCTCAACTGCCAAATCTACAGGATCACATTTTATTCGATGAACAGTGTTGTAAAAATGTGTAAATACAGAGGTTATATTTTTTTGTAATATCCCATGTAAATCGTTTGTGCATTCATCCTGCCTCATTTTTTAAGCCTGCTGTGCAAATGTCTTCATATTAAATGACTATAATACGTTAAGATTATTGTCAATGTTTATTTCTAAGCATTTTGTGCAAGTGTGTTGCTTTATTCAACATTTGGTATGAATTGAACAACAATGCTAAACATGAATATAGGAAGCTTTTATCAATATTGTGCAGATGTTTGGTTCGGTGAATGATTAAACACAACAGTACAACGTTTGTACAAGAAAAAACAAAACATGCATTTAATTTAATTCAAATTGTTTGTATGCAGAATGTACTGGTGTTACTGAACACAGTCAGTGGTTAATAATAAACAAAAGTGCAAACATTTATCTTAAAAAACAATGTATTTTTGACCTTTAAAACCATAATTGCTTAAATAACACAATTATTATACATATACCGACATAATATGGATACAAATGTACACTTTTACAACAAAATGGTAGCAATTTCAAAAGTAAAAAAGTGTTTAACGGATACAAATAAAAATCACTTTCCCACACATTCATTTGAACCATTTGAACCACCACTCTATTTAGACTGTAGTTTTGGCATCTTGAGAAGTTGATGTTTTTATGCAGTTGTAGATTTCTTGTTTTGGGAAAAAGAGAGACGTGATGTTAACAAGCAGTAACAGAAACACAAAAGCAACCAGATCAAATGAATGAATATATCAGTGTCTAATCTGTTTTCATCCCCAAATGTCATCTTGCTCTAAAACCTCCAATTTTGGTGTGGTGCCACAAAATGTGTTATTTTAATCATTAATTGGTTCTATTTTATAGTTAGCTAAGTCTAAGCTTAGAAGAATTATGCAGTATTATGCTTTAATGCTGTAGATATATTTGTAAATGTAAAAGGGATTTTATAATTAAGAATTTCCCTCCAAACAAGATGTTTTCCTCTTACCTCTCCGATAGATACTAAACATAATGTCAGGAAAACTCCCAGGAGGTATCCCACAAAAAACAGCAACATATAATGATTCCTGTGCTTCGGCTTGTCATCTGTAAGAACAAGGGAAAGAGCAAAATAATATTATAATGAGTTTCTTAGAATCTGGCACACAAAAAATCTAAGCAAGTGTATTTGTCTAATTTCTACACAGAAAATGTCTCTACACTTGATATAAGACCTCTTAACTTAAGGAGTAACAATGCAGTGAGATATAGGCTTTTGTTTTTAGACAAAGCATCATGGAAACATCTTCTTTTTTACATTTGTATTAGATAATCCCCAACTAACATCAGAAAACAGAAAAATGTTGAGCATTTCTGGCTTATTTTGTAACACAACATTTCCTGATTTTTCAAAATACACTGAACAAAAATATAAATGCAACACTTTTGTTTTTGCTCGCATTTTTCATGAGATGAACTCAAAGATCTAAAACATTTTCTACATACACAAAATAACAATTACTCTCAAATATTGTTCACAAATCTGAAACAGTCTGTGATAGTGAGCGCTTCTCCTTTGCCGAGATAATCCATCCCACCTCACAGGTGTGGCATATCAAGATGCTGATTAGACAGCATGATTATTGCACAGGTGTGCCTTAGGCTGGCCACAATAAAAGGCCACTCTGAAACGTGCAGTTTTGCTTTATTGGGGGGGTCCGGGGGGGTCCGAAAACCAGTCAGTATCTGGTGTGAGGGTTAGGATTAGAGTTAGGATTAGGGTTAGGGTTAGGGTAATGTTGTGAATCGAGTGGCCCATGGTGGTGGTGGGGTTATGGTATGGGCAGGCGTATGTTATGGACGACGAACACAGGCCACTCGATTCACAACATTACCCTAACCCTAACCCTAACCCTAATCCTAACCCTCACACCAGATACTGACTGGTTTTCGGACCCCCCCAGA